TGCACGAAACTTTATTATATATTAACGTTTCGTAGCCTTTACAGGCTACGTCGTCAGAATCAAACTTTTATTTAATTTGTCGAGCTACCTTCGAAAGACTTTTATTGAGTGTTCGGTTATTTCATTGTTCGATTTTTAAAGTTTTATTGTCTATGTATGAATTTATTATTTAATTTACTTAATAAAGTATATTATTTCAAATTCTTTTTTGTTATTTTGAATTTATTTATTTGACCCTAACTACCGTAAACTACCACCGGTTCCAAAATTGGGAGACCTTTCTGAAAAGAACCGGCGAAACAAACTCAAGAGAGGCTTTCTATCTCCTTCTTATGTTAAATTATGCAAACAAAAAGAACTAATAGTATCTGTTGGTCTTGCAGTGTGTGCTCGGGGTTGGGATTTTATCTCCTGTATAATGGGTTCCCAAGCTGGTGGTATATACCAACCATCTTCCCTATTGAAATCTGGATATTTTTTAATCTCAATAGCCTCGCGTATCATTCTAGGAACGAAAGGTGCCGCTCTCAGCGTGGCATCTGTCACACCCAGGCTATATAAGCGGTACGTAGATGATACTTTCACAATCCTCCCAACAGGATTTTCTGCCTTTTTAAATTTCTGCCTTTTTAAATCACCTTAACTCTATACACCCCAACATCCTATTCACTATGGAGTGAGAGGCAGATAGTAACCTAGCTTTTCTAGATATTTTATTAATCAGGAATCCTGACCAAAGTTTAAGCCATACTGTGTATCGTAAAGTGACTACCTCAATGGTGACTCACACCATCCCCAGAAACAATTAACTGCCGTAGGAAACTCTTTGTTTCAAAGAGCATGAGGTGTCTGTGACAAACAACACCTGGCAGCTGAACTTCAGCATGTCGAGCAAGTACTGAAGGATAATAACCTGAATGTACCACGTCGCCGTCACAGTCGCGCCAAACTTAGCACAATCGACCGACAACCTGCTATACTACCTTACATGAAAGGAGTCACTGACAAGATTGGGAGGATTCTGAAGCGTGCTTCAATCAATACTTACTTCAAGCCGCCAAAGAAGATCAACCAGTTTCTACAACCGGTCAAGTGCAATAAACCCTTTCAAGTTGTTGGTGTCAATAAACTTGAATGCGACTGTGGGCTCTCCTACATCGGGCAAACAAAGAGGAGTATAGGGACTCGGGTAAAAGATCATATCGCAGATATGAAACATAGGCGCGAAAATAAGTCTGCAGTGTGTGAACATGCATTAGGGGGACCAAACCATTACATTAGATTTGATAAACCACAGATAATTGCAACTGAGCAACGATTTGTTCCTAGAATGATACGCGAGGCTATTGAGATTAAAAAATATCCAAATTTCAATAGGGAAGATGGTTGGTATATACCACCAGCTTGGGAACCCATTATACAGGAGATAAAATCCCAACCCCGAACACACACTGCAAGACCAACAGATACTATTAGTTCTTTTTGTTTGCATAATTTAACATAAGAAGGAGATAGAAAGCCTCTCTTGAGTTTGTTTCGCCGGTTCTTTTCAGAAAGGTCTCCCAATTTTGGAACCGGTGGTAGTTTACGGTAGTTAGGGTCAAATAAATAAACTCAAAATAACAAAAAAGAATTTTAAATAAAATACTTTATTAAGTATTATTAAATAATAAATTCATATATAGACAATAAAACTTTAAAAATCGAACAATGAAATAACAGAACGCTCAATAAAAGTCTTTCGAAGGTAGCTCGACAAATTAAATAAAAGTTTGATTCTGACGACGTAGCCTGTAAAGGCTACGAAACGTCGATAAATAAATAAAGTTTCGTGCATTAACCCGTAAAAACTAGTTTTATTTAATGAGTGATGTGCGTGAAAACCTAAGAAACAAATATGTAAGATGTTTATAGAATTTTCGCCCATTTGTGATGACCGACAATATGATACCTCAGTTTTGCAGAAAACAATTTAAAGAAGCGTCTATCGAATTAAAATCGTTTTTTTTATACGAGGGGCCACAAATTATCCCTCCACACCTGTCGTTAAGTGTAAGTAGAGTCCTGAGTCCCAGTCGCAGATGATGCGGCGGAAAGTGTGCAGCTCCAGCCATTCTCATCTTGCCGGTTTGTATCCAATCCCCTACCCCACAGAGCCCTGGAACCCTACTCACCAGCAGAATCACAAACCCGGTGACGCTGTTAAGGTCATCTGCGACCAACAGCATAGACACTCAATATAAACCCCTACCAAAAGGTAGCGCATTTTTACTGTTATCGTCTGTAATGTGAGGGTTGCTTCCCCAGGGTGGGTCCGGCAACGGACAATCACTGGCGGGGCCGCGGTGCGTTGCGTATCCCGTGACTAACCCGCACTCCCGGCACGCAATGGGGGGACCTCCGTCCCCAGATTGCGTGTCGGGTGACCAGTACTGGAGTATTATCTGGTTTTTAGTGGCCCTGTTCAGGGCGTAGGTAGGGCCCTGTTCACTTCAGCGAGTCCCGGGGCTGGCTGTATTGGGCAGGGAGGAGTCCCACATACCTTCTTCTCGCTCCCCCAGTGGTTGAAGGATGCGTAAGGCATTTTCCAGACAAAAAAAAAGGGTTGCTTCCCCAGACGAGCGCTCCAATTCGAGTGTAAATTCCGCTGTGCCCTTCCTCTCTGAAAAACTTCTTCTACGGTTTCTGTAAAACCAATGTTTTTAAGATATCACACTATCGTCGCAAATGGGCGATTGTAAAATAAAACTACAGACTGTGGTTGACAATTGTGCATAATATTGACCGTTGAACAACTGCGGTGGCAGGCTTGCTTTTTTTTCAACTTTAATGACATGATTTTACATTTTTAATACTTTTCTTTGGAATAATCTTTGTTTTTCTACTATATCACATTAAAATCATCATTACAATTTCATAAATTGATTGATTGAAATTTATATTGAAGAGAAGATCTCACAAAACATGTAAGATCTTCGATGAAGATTTTTTATTATGATAATCACAACTTCTTTTTATGACCACATTATTATTGTTAAGCAATTCACGTATCCAGAGCAGCTTAACATCTTTTTAATGACCAAGTGAAAACGTGTCGAGAGCAAATAACGTCTTTGCATATTCAAGCGGGTATTAAGCAACGAACACGGGCCGGAATTAGTTTATTTTATGCATTTAATAATGCCGGCACCTACCCGACTCCACCCGCCCGTTTCAAATTGTGATTCTACTGTGTTAAAATATTAAAACTTTAATTGTATTCCAACGGCCGACGCCATGCCGTAAAGAAGCCAGCGAGGCACTTCGTTGATACACTATTAATGCAATTGTTCGAAAACAGCGAGAGGCAATAAAATTTAGCCTTCAGGTGAAATACGCCGCCCCACTTCGTGGACGGAGTCATAATTTTTCGCATTGCGGATTTGAGTTTATGTAGCTCATTTTGTTTTTAATGTTTGTCTGTTGCCATCAAAGATTGAACAGTTACACAATCACTTTGCTGTTACTTACTTGAGAGCTGGAACCAATACAAATTAAGTTTGCAGGTACTGCTTACCGTTTATTTAAAATAAGATTGACCTTTCAAGCCCTGTTAAACATCGCCAGTCTCTAAGTCGGTACATATTTAGTTTTACGCCCCAAAAGTACCAAGTCAGAGAAAACGGTATCTAATTTTAATAGGCATAAATTTATTGAATACTATGAGGAAAAAAGTTGTCATATAAAGAAGATGTTTAAGATAAAGGGATATCCTGAGAAACCTATCCACTAAACAACAGACGGAAGGTCTCAATACACCGGAGTTCCATCAGGGACGGCGCGCGTCGCCGTAATCCGGAGCAAAAATGGCAAATGCACTTCGGCATCATCGTTTTCCTGCACTACGACGCAACTTTTCGGATTCCCTCCGAGTGGAGCGTTCCTAATTCGACTTTATTGACTGTCTATCTATTCGTTTATATTAGAGCCCAGAGTTTGGAAAACGATGATTTACTGGGAAAACTTTCCGCTTTGTTTACTACTACCCAGGGTCGGGAAGCTACCTACATCATACCTACCGTATTGAGTTATCGTTTCTAAGAAGGTGCTCTCACTGTCTAACGAAAGTTCTCGTCATTCAAATTGATCAGGATTTGCAGTGTTATTGTAATATCAGAGTAATAAGTTAGTAGTTTTAATTCGACTTTACTGACTGTATATCTGTCTATTCTTTATATAAGAACCCAGAGTGGGGAAAACGATGATTTACTGGGAAAACTTTCCGCTTTGTTTACTACTAGCCATGACTGGGAAGCTATATTTGCCTTATCTACGTTTCAAGCGGTCCAACATTCCTTCCGTATTGAGTTACGTATCGTTTCTAAGAAGATGCTCTCACTGTGTAATGTAAATTCTCGTATTATATATCAATAAAATTGCTCAGGAATTATAGTGATAATTTATAAAGTATCACAATAATAAACTAGTAGTTTTGTTTCAACAACCTACTTATGATCTCTCTAAAACTATAGTTTATGAGCGCGGATCATACTAATGAAAAAATAACTCGCATACTAATAAAAAATATGCAATTGATGTTAAAACCATATAAATCAATTAAAAATAAATATTTCCACACCCACACCAATCAGCCTAGCCCCAAAGTAAGCACTATAAGGCTTGTGTTATGGGATACTAGGGTAACGGATAGAATACATATATTGTACATATGTAAGTATATTTATATAGAAATACATATTAAACATCCATGACTGGAGTACAAATGCTCGTATTCATCACACAAACATCTGCCCCAACCGGAATTCGGTCCCGGGACCTCACGAGTCGGCGACACCATGAAACCCAGCGTACAAACTCGGCCACGGAGGTCGTAAAATCAATTTATTAATTAAACTAAGACTATTTTTATTGTTACATGCATTTTACACATTCATTAGGGTACACTAATTTCAAATCCCGGTGGGATTTGAACCCGGGACCTTTCGAGTCGGCGGCACCATGAAACCCGGCGTATAAACCCATGCCAAGGAGGTCGTCATATGAAAGTCCATTCAGTAATTATTGAAAACATTTAAAATGACAGACGTAGCAAATAGGTAATAGTAATGAAACGGAAGCTACTGTAAGAAATTGTAAATTACTCTTTAGGAAACCAATAGCTTCTCGATGAAAGAAATAGAATAGAACATTGTCTATACTAATATTATAAAGAGGAAAGATTTGATTGTTTGTTAGTTTATATTGAATTGGCTCCGAAACTACTGAACCGATTCGAGAAATTCTTTCACATTTAGAATTCTTCATTATCCGTGATAAACGTTGGCTATTGATTGTTTTTTTTTTTAAGTTAGGGTACCGTATGAGAACTTCGATAATGTAACCCAACGTGTGTAAAAAATACCAAACAAACCTTATATCACGTACGCTGTGGAAGTCATTGACAATAGAGCAAAGTGTTGTACTAAAGTTTTAAAGAAGAAGAAAGAAGAGAGAGAGAAGAGAAGAGATATATCTACAAAAAAGTCTGCGATTCCATATGTCTAACTATCACAGCTATGACACAACTAGAGGTCCCCTGCGGTTTCACCCGCGTTAATTTGAAGAAAAAGGTTATAGTGAGTCGAACTTAAAATATGGACATATTATGCTGTCGCGGACTATAATACAGAATTTTTAAAAGGAAACAACCCAGCGCAAGCAACGGAATCTCCCAAATTAAATATTTTTAGTCGTATTTGCAACATTTTCATTGGTGTTTCGCTGCTACTGGTCGTAGCCTGATGTTATATAGCCTATTATAACCGTCCTCGATAAATGCACTATTAAATACAAAAAGAATTTTTGAAATAGGAATAGCAGAACAACGGTGCATTTGGTACAACGGGTCCTAAACTACGCAACAATTTTTGTACTTGGAATGGAAGGTTTATAATTATTGTGGTGAAAGGCATTGTGTATAATACAAGCCTTTGAACAAAAACTATAGACTACACTACATAGCGGGCCACTTGTATTTAATAAAAGGATGTACCTAACATAATCAAAACAAATACTCATAATAAACAATTTTATATTCAATAAAAACTTTGAATCGTTTGCAGCTGAGCAAACTGGTTACTAAAATTACAATAATACTTATTTACAAATTATTAATTAAGTTTTGGGAAAATACAATTTAATTTAAATACATTTATGACTGAATTTTAAAATTTTAATACTATTCTTTGAAATAATCTTTGTTTTTCTATCATATCACATTTAAAATCATCATTACAATTTCATAATACCGAAAAATCCACATTACTTTGGTATTTTATCTTAAAGAAAAACACATTTATTTGAAACGCTATACCAATGTTTTCTCTGTTTGTTTTATTATTGAATAACGTTTTGATTTTTTTCTTGAAATTTACTTTATCATAACTACTTAAACAGTCAACGCATTAAAGTAAATTCTCTTTTAATTATGATTAATTTAAAATAAAAAATAACTGTTCTCACAACAAAATAAATTACAAATCATATTTACAACTTATTTTTTTAACCATTTCATTGCCTTCTTTGGATAGCGACTGAATAACTTAATTTTATTAAATACTTATCGTAATCTGAATAACTTTTTTTTTATTTATTTTTTCATTCTCATTTACTTTCCAATGAAGAAAGAAAGAAGAAGTAAGACCATGTCTATCATTAAAAAAAAATGGTGACCACTTAATTGAAATTGAAACATCGAATGACAATGAGACGTCAATTTAATTTAAGTTTATATTGTCATATGTTATACTTTGAAATTTATAGATATCTCTGTGTATAACCTGCCAGCCTATCTGCTAACTTTTTTGACATTTACAGTGTGCAAATAAAGAGATAATTGCATATCCATCGATGCTTTCGAGAACAAGTATCTTAGTGGCGTTATAATAAAGCAGTAATGGATCACTAAATTGCTCAGTGATTATCACTTTTATCTGTCAAAAGCAATTAGTGAATATGCCTACAAGTATGACCATATATTTATTAGGTTTGGCTAGATTTGATATGTAAAATATTAGTGCGTGTTTCTGTGTATGGATAATATGGGTGATGCCGGGGTGACATAATCGAAATTCTGTTTAGTCCAACAGTTAGTTAGATTATCGAAAAATATAGAAAATTATTTTTCATTCGTCAATTAACTAAAAAAAATTACAAACATAAAGCCGTGACGTCACTTCTAAGGAAAAATTGCACGAGAACGTTACGTCATGCGACATTTCAAATCAATATATCTTGGTAATTAAACAAATCAAGTTTCAACAGGTTAGATGCACTGATTGCATTTTATTTATTGACGTTTCGCAGCCTTTGCAGGAATGCATTGTCAGAATAATGACCCTATCTAACCCGTTGAAACTGGTTTTGTTTAATGAGTGATGTGCGTGAAAATCTAAGAAACAAATATATGTTTGTAATGTTTTTTGATTATGTGAATAAAGAAAAAATACGTGGCCAATAATTTTTGATTATCTACCTGATAGATGAACAAATAAAATAAGTCATTATCCCTGTAGTCTACTTTACGAAGAAACAAATTGCTATTGGGTTCACATTAATTTATTAAAACCAATATTAAACTATGTAACTCTACGTACTCTCTCTACTTTTGTCGTTTAAGTAAACGTAACTGAATAAAAATACTCTCTGTTAGTCGACCTCAATGAATTCGAAGCGGAAACTTAATGTTTTTAGTATTTTGTCAGAATCAAAATTACTTGAATATCCCTTTTACAATTGGTAGCATTTTAAGCAGCAGAATTAGACTATTCAAAATCTTTTCGAAGAAGGAAATTCGACATCAAATACGATTCCACAATAAAACGAACTGTAGAAGAAGCATAAATTAATGTTTGGGTGCTTATATTGTTTCAGCTAGTAATTCATATATAAAACATATCTTAAATGTTTTATACAAACAACGCTATTTTAAACCACTAGAACATGACCTAATTTGATTATTTCTGCATACTGTTCACAGAAAAAACTATTTGAATTTCACTATAAAAAACTAGTCGAATGATATTTACATACATTGTTCATGATCAACGATATATTTCATACTTCTACAATGTTCCAGATAACATATTTTATACCTACATTCCACCGAAACCCACTAAAGTGAAATCCGTCTATAAAAATTTCAATTATCATAAAACTTTATTACAGATTTAACAAGTAAAATAATAACTCTATCGTAATTAATGACTTCATAACAAAATATATTCTTTTTACCCTAAAATTATTTAAATGACTTTTTTATCTATATCATTTTCCGGTAGGTAAGGTCAATTTAAATGTTTCTTTTTATTTTACTTAAATACATTGAATTTTTCGCGGTGATTGGTTCATTCACAATACCAAGTCGTTCTTCTGTCCTTCTTCTCCATTATCCTTCTGACTTCTCCCGGTACTCCACGGAGAGAGTTATCTGAAACCAATGTTATCAAGATTCAATTTAACTTTTCCTTTCACTTTCACGGATATCATCATTATTATTAGGTATACAATATAATTTGAAGAACCTTGTAGCTTAAGAATGACCAGAAGAATTTGTACTCGGCCGTCAGAGCCGCGGTAGCATAATTGGTTAGAGCCTAGTCCGCGTGGAACGTGGTCCGTTTTTCTAGTTATATTTTCTTTGGATAAACATCAAGCAATTACATGCTTAAAAAAAATAAAAACATATATAACTATAATTTGGTGAGTTCTTTTTTGAATCACCTTGTAAGATCTTCGCTATAATTTTCCGGTTAACTGGTAGAGAATACCAGTTTAAATAAATAAATTATCATCAGACTATTATTGTCCCCACTGCTGGGGCACAGGGATGAATTGGCAGATTGGACTGTGATCCACCACGCGGGCCCAGTGAGGATTAGTGGATGCTAACGATTGTATACACAGCCGGGACCAACGGCTTTACGTGCTTTCCGAAGCACGGACTAACAGTAGATTTTATATTTTGGTCACCCATCCAATGACCGGACATTGAGAAAGTTGCTTGACTTCCACGATCGCAGACCAAACGCGCCAACTTGTGCCAATGAGCTCCTCCTCATCAATGGATATCATTAGCGGAAAAGATTTTAAATAAAAACATATGCAAATAAATTTACGCAATATCTATTGCGCAAGTTTAAAACATCTGTTTTGTATGTAATAATGAACTGATTCCAAATTGTAAACCGACATCTTTTAAATTATAAAGGCAACATATACCTAGGCGACGAATCCTTTGAAATGTTATTAGTTTTCTATACAGGCTAACTGAAGATTTAAACCCTTGAATCCCGTGATCACGAAGAGAGCGACAACAAATAGCAGTTAAAAATATTCTATTTATAGCGGAAAGTAAGAATGATTTTGAAGAAAGAAGAAACCTCAACCCAATTTCCCCATAACCAGGATTGTAGAGGTTTTCCAACACTATTTGAACTAAAGATACCACATGAAACAAGCAAAGCTTTCTTAAAATAAAAAAAAATAACAATTATTTTTCTAGTAAAAGAAGACAACAATGGAACAAGAACATCGCACCCAAAAAGCGAACAGGAACTTAAGCCAAAAAAGCTTATTTCAAATTATTTTGGAAGCGTGCCTAACTTTACTGACCTACAAAGTAATTCATTGGTGCAACTTCACGTCTACGAAACCACTTATACCTGGAGGAGAGATTTTTACTGTTACTCTTTAATAATATCAAGTCATAGTTGTTTTTTAACATAAAATGCAAAGTTTTGCTAGATATTGTTATATATTATCAAATTGAAGCACAGGGGAGTTATAACACTTTTTATGTACACCCATGCTTTAAAACCGCTATTAAATATTTTGAAAACAGCTTATTTCTAAAATTAAAACATCCAATATCAAAAAAAAAAATTAACAGTATGTTTTTTTTTATAAATTTCATAATAACACCTTTTCGCTTTTTAAACCCCTTTCGCGCCAAGGGCTTGCTCATCAGTCAGTGACAATTCACTGCTAAACGCATGGTATTATGGATTTCAAAAAAAGAACTTTCGTTCACGCTCGCTTCACTACCACAGAGCAGAAACTATTCATGAATTTTAAGTTCTTAGAACGCCCCATAGTTTCAGAATCTTTTAAAGAAGATCTTATGAATTATCATTGGTGTAGATAAAGTCTTATATGGAATTCTTATAATTAGGTTCATGTGATACTATTATCACACTTGGCTTCGCCTCACGTAATAAACACACATTCGTATTTTAATACCTATCATTATACAACAGCTGCATAAATAACTACTCCAGATTACTACTAGCTAAATGTCTTTGTATTACTGCGAAATCTTAACAAGGTAAAGGACTTGAGTGAAGGTAAGCAATGTAAGTAGATATTCCTGGTATTGCAAGGACATAGAGACTTTTAGAGTCAATTATTATCAGTTCAGACAAACCTATATATGTAACTTAATGACATTTTCGAAATAGACATAACTAAACTGTGCGATGTGCATTTTTATGCAAAGCTAAAGAACCTTTGCTGAAAGCTCACAAAAGCTGTTAGTTTTCTTTATAATACATATAAAACACTTGCAAATATTGCAGTTTTATTATACAACAAAAAGTGCATTCAATAGAATATCTTTTAACGCACTTCCGTCACAAAGTTTATATGATCGGAATGAACTTGAAAAAATACTATTTATAAGTATAGTTTATATCGGAGCAGTTAAATGATATTTTCAAGAAATTTACTGTAATCGTAATGTAATTCTAATCTTAATGATTTTGGGGTTATTGATTATTGAATTACCTATAAACTTTCCCATTTTTATTATTGCTTGGATTATATTACAATAGTTAAGTCATTGTGAGATATCAAAGCATATAAACAATCGCATTCAATCCATATTCGTATATGATTTCTTAAAACAATGCTATAGAATGATAATAAGGCTATAATGAAAGCAAATAAGCAAGCATTATGAAATATAATTAAATGCGATATTGACTTTCCAGAAATATTTATAAGCCTTATTTAAACGTTTGAGATAAGAATGATAAATAAAACCCCAAGATAACGGAACTTATTAAAATATGTGAAAATATCAAAAGGGCGGTCATGAAAATGAAGACTAAAAAACAGATTTTTACTGTTAATGTTACAAATATTTTACAGATAAGTACTTAATTGTTATGTTTTTGTTATAAAATCTACTTACATTTATCGTCATTTTTCTCATCTTCCCCCAACTTTTGTCCATCCATGGATGCCATAGATATTCTCTTTTTGCGTTGCTGCAGAAGGAGTTCTGAAAAAACAAAAAATAATACTTGTTATATCGAAAACTAATTCAAGAAATAGTTCAATACATGAATAGAGTGCAAAGACCTTAAGCTTAATTAAATCTCGGGTTCGAATCCTGGTCGTCATTTTTTTTTCTAGGGATATCTAATATTTATTTGGATGTTTAGTATAATATATGAGGAACCGGCGAACAAAACGGTATAATTACATAAAATTAAATTTTACATGAGCTGTATAAAACTGAATGACATACCTCTAGTGAGCTTTTGGCATGGTTCTTAATTTATAAAATTAGGAATTTTAACACTGTTTTAGGCGGTTTTGATTGAAAATTATTTGAGATTCAAATTCAACAGACCCGGACTGTAAAAAAAAGTAGTTTGATCAGATATGTAATTAAACCGTTTTGTTCGCCAGCTCCTCATTAGCTATTTAGTTTCCGTAGTACAAGCTTTGCATGGTTTAGTTGTGATCAAAATAAATATTAACATTTGATAATAATTGGAAATCGGTAAAGCAACGGTATATTCACCCGGACCTAAAATATAGATAACTATGTATATTCTCGACAGACAGACAATCTATGTCTATATGGTTTCCGAACAAAATCTTAGATTTATTAAAACACTATATAAACTACACGCTACACTTTTTGTACAAATAACATTACATTTATTTAATAGAGGCTAAGGATTGCCATCTTAACATATATGCTACTGGAAAGATACTTTTCTTTCCTTTCCAGCTAACACTTTAAAAAACCTATTCTCGATTTTAAATGTTCAGTAGTAAATCGATTAAATTAGAAGAATCGATAACTCCATACATTGATAAGTCAGGAAAACCCGTGCGTTCTATATTTCCAAGTTTTACAATATGATAACATCAATGAAGGTATTTCATTTTGAGCTGTTACAATTTATTTTAAACTATTGCTAACATGCCCACGCCCACAACAAAGAGATACTGTAAGCCACACATCATTTCAGACTTGACGTTTAAAGTGCATATACAAAGCAATAGCTGCATATTTTAATTTAGCATATACAAAAGCGTCGCTCTGTTGAGACTTGAGTGCTTTTAAATCGTTACATCCAGCGAGAACGCGGCACGCGTAATTGTACCTGCCTTTGGTTTTAAAATTGATAAACACGCAAACGACATAGTTTAAACAGCCAAAAAATAACTCTTAAGTACTTAACATTTTAAAAATCAACATTTTGTTCTTGTAATGACTTCCGATGTTACGGAATGAACTACGTGTCTTTTTACTCTTCCCATAAGCCTTGTTCCTTTGTTTAAATTGCTGCCAGTGATTGCTTGTAGTTATTATTAGTCACTGTTTAAAAACCCCGGGTCGATTTCCGATATTATCGGATGGTAATCATCGGCCTAAGTGTTATAGCGTGTGAACAACAGCTAGATAGCTGTAGGCTTTTTTACTTGTTTGGCAAACGTGCGAGCTATTTTAAAATATGGATGGATATTTTGAATTGGAGTTCTTATGCCTATATTTTAAAACACCGATCCGGGACTATGTGGCAAATTTAACACGTATAAAAAGCGTTATGTTTTTTTTTTGTTATATTCTATATTATATCTCTCTGACAACTCTCTGACCTAAAACCAGCCGAAAACGGATTTTGCCCTAAGCCTCCTTAAGATTTTAATTACAATAACGCTCTAAGTATTTTAAATATTCATCAGTCACACTTGTTACTTTAGAATTTTACTTCACATTTATCAATGTGTACTTAATAAATCGCAATGCAGGATATGAGTCTCCACAGATAGCTTATCAGTGATCAATAGTTTATTTCAATAACGCGTAGGTACTGTCATTGTATAAATTACATTGTCATAGTAGTATGTAGATGAAGAACTTAGTAGCTCTGTGGTTAACGCGTTCGGTCGTGATTGTGGGAGTTAAGCTACTTTCGTAATGTTCGGTTATTAGATGGGTGACCAAACTTCACTGTCTCTAGTTGCTACAAAGCATATTGAAGTGGATAAACTCAATCAGCAATCGGGTCGCGTTATGGGTTATGCTCCTTTCCGCCTATTCCATCTGCAAGGCCTGTACCCCAACACGACTACAGATAATAAAAATATCTTTATATCATTTATAGTTTATCAAATATCATTATATTTCATAGTATATCATTTATTTATATTTATTCGTACAGTTATGAACTTTCAATTAATTTGCCAAATTTCAATTACTTTGATAAATTGAATATTAAATAAAAAGAACATCAACGAATAGATACTTATTAGGTATTGGGTGATGTACTTACATACTAATAAATAGACTTAATTAGGACAAAATAACCTCAGACTTTCTATCACCATTAAATTGTCTTATCCATAGCTTAAAGTAATAACAAGAGCACAAACTCAACGATCAAATTGGATCAAAAAGTTCCTGAGTGCTTCTAAATCAGGACAATTAGTCGTCCTATTTCAAAACATGCTTTGGCAATTTACGTTGGAAAAGTTGACATCCAAAATAGTACTAGAAAGTCAATATGACTAATTTTTAACAAAGCAAGTTACAAATTAATTCCTGTGATCTGAGGTCGATTATTTTTAGGGTTGATTATATACCTAAGCTTGAACTCTTAAAAAGTTGACTTTCGAAATATTCATTCAAATCTTGATGATACTTATACGATCTTACTACAAAAAAGTTAGACACGGTTTCAAACCTTGTTTAAGCAAGTTTTGTAGTATTTTTTTTCTTAGACTCGTGTTGAACGCATGTCTAATATTTTGTGATATTAAGGTAAGTCTTTAATGCTCTAGATTAGGATACGACACGATACATCGATTATAATTATTGATTTTAGAGTTCAGCCCTTGGCCTAACTAAATATCTCTTTGATGCGACCTTAACAATAAAGACGGGAATGCATCAGAAATTTCAACTATTCTTCACCATAAAACTTTTGTTTTGCAGTAAAACTGTACGAGTAAAGTGGGTCATGTCATAACCCTCCGTTCTAAGCTGCAGACAGCGCGGACGAGCGACGCTATTGTTGATAAACTGAGCAACAATGGCCGACGGACGGCTCGAGCCACGGAATTATCGTTATGAACGATGCCCATACAGAAACAATAACATACGATTCCGATGGAGCACTCTGAATCACACGACTCGATGGCCGTACTGTTTGATTATTATTTTCGTATGATTCAATTCGACTAGTGACATCGGCGTAATGTTATTATTGGACTCATTGACAGGGTTTGTAAAGATAATATAGTAAGTAGACTCCTTATAGTATATTCCATAATTATATACCTACGTTTATCTTTATCATGATACCACACCTTTGATGCTTGCCCTTAAACTAATTATGTGTTTTCCTAAATCATTAATCGATCAATATAGTCTAGGTAATGGTAATGGTTCTCATAATTGAATATCATCATTAAAAATCATCAGACTAATAAAACTATAGTATTTGATTCAAGCGTAAGCCGTTACGTGTTTTCCAATGCATTTCACCCTAGACAAAAGCCTATTGTGCTGTTTGAGGTAACAACGATTGTCGCCAAATAGCTCCAAAGTAACAAAGAAACGCATTACCAGAAAGATTTAAACACCAGTTTACGCTTATCAACGTAATCTCTGCGAGGAATGCGGCATTGTAACAACGAGAGTTCGAAACGATCGCACTTTCGTCGCGCTCCCTTGTGTGGCTCCTATCTAATTTTATCAGTGAACAAAAGCTGTTTATGCAAATAATACCCACTAGCAGTTTCGTTTCAATAAATTAAGAAAAAAAAGAGCACCGGGATGCAAATACAAAGAGTGTGTGATCATTTCTGTTAAAAATTCACGACAACGCCACGTGACGTCACAACGACAGTGAAAAAATTTGCAAACAAAAGAGCTTCTTGTACAGACGAGTATCGCTTACAACAACAAAAAAACAGCTATGTCGGTGTAAGGGCGTAGAGTTCCTGTCGTTCCCACAGATGTAACTGAGTGCACATGCAACTCGCAAGTATCCAATAAAAAAGTCAGTCGTCGACCCCGCGTGCGTCAGCAGACGATAAGTATACCCGCTCCTTCCGTCACGTACGGGACGGGAGCAGATGACGATCAATTAAAAAGTTTCTACGCATTAACTATGCGAGAATTAGTTCGGTGTGCTTGCGTACCAGATGGACTCGACTAATTTCTTTGTGAGAAGTAAGCTGAAGGCAGAGCCCATTTCGAGACCCTTGAAAAGTTCAATGTTCTCCCATCGTGTTGATTGCGATGTACATAGTTAAAATTTTAGTGTCTACGTTTCAGATCTATTGGTACAGTTTTAGTTTACTGCCGCGTGAGTCTTCTAAAGCAGCAATTTCGAGATTAGGAAATCTCATAACATGCTCTCCAAACAAACGTCCACAATGTTATTCGTGTTATTCATGTGGAGTGACATAATTCCCTCAGACGACGGTACCTAGTATGTGCAGCACTGCTGAATTGTATAACGATCTATTCATCTCTGCATGGTTTACTATTGAATGCATTATCTTGCGGTTGCAACTTCTAAGATCCACAGCGGTGAAGTATGAGACACCTAACAATATTTACGAGCAGTCGTAAACCTATCGCGACGAGATCGAAGAAAACAAATTTTGTGAACAGATATTCGCGATTCAGAACGAAGAATTTTTGCGCTATCGGTGTTTCTACATTGTATTTGAAAACTTTCATCGTCTTCAGTTTCAAATCAATGGCATAAAGCATTCGTACATTTCACTTATATTTTTTTGACAAGGTTATTAGGAGAACAATTATTTAATGCAATGTTTTCAAGATATAACATTAGTTATTTTCGCGAGCAGCTTGCAGATTGTATCTGCGATTCAGCATTTAGGTTCTCGGTTCAACTCTCAATCAAGTCAATTAAGAAAACCTGTCTTGATGTTGTGGTATTTCCTTATTTCACTTGCCTTAGATCGGATCTATTCCTACGGGATTTATCAACGTAAAAATTCAACTTTTAAAGTGGAACTTCTTTTCGGGCGGGGTGTTAATGGAAAAATCCTATGAAAAAGATGAAACGGAAGTGCGTCACAAACGTCACACGACTATACATATATGTGTGTGTGGGATGCGTGCGCAACTCCTCCCGACGAGCGAGAAAGTTGGAGGGTAACTCGACGTGCTAAAACGATACGAGCGCCACATGCGACAATATATATACACATATACTCGTATATATCTGAGTGATGCGTGTGCTGTTCCATTCCCCTATGCTAATGTTAAATTTATTTAAGAAAACAAGTTTCACTTCCGATGTGTGGTCCGTGCACACTATTTTTTTTATATATTATGTCTGGGTTAACAATCACCCAGACAAACAAACAACCGATTGTTTCTGTTTTCCGTGAACTCAAAACGTTAATATACATTAGGATCAGATCAATATTATGTCATATCGTTTTGTATGAATTCTTACGCTAGACAATGCATACACAGAAATTAAACAATATCAAAGAACAGCTCTTGAATAGTTCTTTATAACCTCTGCTAAATTCACACATTTCACTGCTAAATTCACACATTTTTTATTTTATACAAGGTGCAGCAAATGCCATGCCACCAACTGATGTTATGTGTTAGTGGCGTCCAGTCCTAAATTATACCTGATTCGAGAAAAAAGGGTGCCGCATCCTAAATCTATTTTGGCATGGAACTTGTAACGTAAGGTTACAAGTTCCAACCAACCACAGAATATTAACTCCACCAAGGGGTATTATTTTACTACGGTCTTCTGTAAGGTGAAGGTTACTTTCCCGGTCGAGCGTTTGTGTCTGAGTGGGAAATTTGCAAAGCCGTTCAAAGTTCAGAACTTATCGCTTACCTTTCTTCTGCATCGCTTGCTCCCACAACAAGGATGTGATTTCTTCCACCCACGCGTTCCTCACAGCGGTATCCGTAGTCTCCATCTTGTACGATTTCAGGTTTCGGTTTTTGTACCATATTGTGAATTTATGCTGGTCTTGCTCTTTCGCCGTGATGCCCAGGTCGTCGACTGGTATGTGGTCTTTGTATATGAAGTGTTCTACTCTTGGTTGCTGGAATTTTATATTTTGTTCGTTACTTTTCATTTGTTTTATTTATTGCATAACTTCTGTAAGGTTTGGCGCTGAATGAGATTCATGACTCATGACGAGATTTTATTTGGTATAATAATAGACGATTTTTTATGAAACGACGATATTTCAAATGGAGATTGTTTTTAAACGATACTAGTTGAAATATTATAACAGCGAATATCATTATTATATCAAATTGGCATGTAAGTACCAACAAAAACAACTCGTTGGAGAATTTCAATGAGAACATTCTGAAACATGATGCAGCAGTTATAGAAACTATTTTAGGCGGTGAACTAGGTAAGCTGCAACTATTGTTGTTTATTAATAATCTGAAACCTCACTTCACTAATGTCAAAATTTATCAAATTAGAAACGTAACATTTCTGTTCATGTTTTAGTACGTAAGGAAAATTATGTAAATTCTCTTATTGGAATATAAATTCAAGAATCAGTAATCACAAGGAAAATGAATATTAAGCATTTCCTATCCAAAAGTCTACAAACTCTTTGATATTTTATTAATCTAACGTGTCATTGAACCGTAATATATGAAGCGTATGTATTGTTTAAAATTTTAAACATCCGCGATATTATTTCCTCCATCGAACAGTCAAAGGCTAACAGCGAAAATCGCCAGCGCATGCCTAATTAGCTGGTCGGCCGCGGCATTGACAAGGTCACTCGCATTTCCCACCTCGACTGACGTTAACAATAATACTATAGCTAGCGTGAAGTTATGACCAATTGATGGACTAGTACTTCTAATGAAATGTGATGGACTGATAGTTCTATTGAAAAATCGTTCTAATTTCATAGCGAGAATAAAAATAGAGTTCTTAAAAACATCTTGAAGTTATTTCAATATATTATCGATGCTCTATGGAGACCAAAGTTGAAAAGAAGAAATATGTATCGTGTTGTTCACCAAATGCTTACACATTACATTCTCAATAGTAAATGATTTTTTAAATAAAATTACTGACGATTTGAAATTGCTCTACCTACTTATTTGTCCGTTTTTTAATGTTTTTCCAGCTTTGAAATAATCCATTATTGTACAAATTTCAGTACCTGCTACCAGGGCGAAAGGTTTTGAATATAATATTTTATAATAATTGTTAAATATATTTTTGGCGTGGATTTTTTAATTTTAAAATACATTTTTCATGGACATACAAAAACGCTGTGGGCCATTTTAGTCTATAGATTATCTATGTTATGACGTCAACAAAATCGTAAACATTCGGGAGCACGTAGGAAATAACCTGAATCTAAATTTATATTATAAAACCATGAATTCTAATAGATTTCATGATAAATATAATAATTATCATGATTGTATTATACGAGAATGTAGAAACACACCGTTAAAGACTCCAGAAAAGTTGTGGTTTAAATTGTCTACATGAACACACTCATGTTTAAAACTTGCTCAATCCTGTAATTTTACCCTCGGAAAGTCACTTCTTTTAGCAAAGATCACTTTAATGTGAATACATTTAAAGTTTAAAAATACAATTTTGAAAGTTATGAATGTACCTACTAAGTCAGAGAGTTTTGTCGTTTCTGCTTTCACAAATCCGGCGTCCAGCATTAATTTAGTCAACAAAACCAATAAACGGATTTTTGGAGTTTACTCCTTAAGAATCGATTTGCATATATAAGGGGCCCGGTATGAGAAAAATGTGAGGAGTAAAATCTATCGATGAATGACATTAATGACCTCGTTATGTTTTTGTGCGCAACCTCATCTGCGCACCTTTCACTTTTAGCCATGGCAACGAATAAAAAACATTAAGTTGTCACAAATGTCAATAAAATAAATAAACTAAAAATTGATAAAATCGGAGCAAAATTAATGAAAACAAATAAATAACAGAATATAGAGAAATGCCGGTAAGTGTCCAGCACTGTGGAATAGTGATTTTCAGTACAGATGGAATTATAATACATATAAATTTACAAAATGATGACTAGTGTGTGATATTTTTCAAATTGTGGGTTTCCAGAAATACATAATAAAATATATGATGAATATCGCTGATGTTAGATGATAAAATGTGTGACATGGAACCTATGATAGTCAAAACCATGGGACGATTCCTGAGGTATCTCTACTTGTAACCGACTTCTTCGGACTTGATTTTGTTTTGTGTCTGTTCAAAGACAATCGTTTTTAGAGTGTAAACTCCGGTCGTGCGTCGGAGCTAACATACACAATTTTTTTTCTACATGATGTAAGAATTTTTAGATATATTTTAGTATAACGAAAGACACCACAGTAACACGACAATGACATTTAGTTGTTTACTAACACATTTACTAACTTGTTGACGTCACAATCATGGTGGACAGCGTATTGAGTGTTTAAAAAGCACAGACTAAAAAACCATTTTTCAAATTAAATACTACCACCATCTTCTAATTTATTGAAGTGAAAGGAAGTCCAGATTCACTTTAAAAATATTTTCCTATAAATAAATATTTTCTCTTCAATAGTTTTTATGACCAGACAATGCTGACCAAATAATACGTGATTCTATTTTGAAAAGCTTACTTTATCCGAACTGGTCGTTACAAACATCCGACTGCAGTTGAAATAATTTGAATGGCTACTTCAATTATTTTTCAACAAACGCAGTCACAAGGTCATCGCTTTGCTCTCTCTTACGAACAATGAATAGCAAACAAAGTGATAATGACAATCAATTGATATTTACGTACCATCAACATTAATATTATTTAGATATTTTTAAATCACGTGGAAAATAATTCGTGTCATAATTGAATTTTTGTAAGAAGTGGTTATAAATATAATTAATTACCTATTAGCCAAATTTATGCAGTTACTTAAAAACCTGTCCAAAAACTCAAACTTACACTGGTTTTGGCATTCTAATGAGCAGATATTTTTATTTAAGTTGCAGTCTACTTTTATTATCCATAATCACTAAAGCTATATACCTAATAAATATTTGTTATTTTAAAAATTCACCTGTTTTGTTTAAAATATTAGAAAATAAGCATATGACCTGCGAAATGGTACTCAGCTGAGGTATCAGGCTGGATTCAGCCTTTGTGATTAAACTGTGGTCTAGTTTTCCTATACTGTGCTCAACTTTGCAAATTGTTACATTATTTCATGCAAGAGAGAAATTGAAAATAATAGCAAAACATAAATTTATTGGACAGTTAATTAAGTCGGGGTTAAAGGTTTCTACGTCTCGTATCTACTTCCGACGCCGATGTGGCGGGACCAGCGTTATAAATAAACCATTGTTGCATATAAGAATACACACACATCTTATGCACATCTTCAGTTAAATGGAAGTTATAATGGCCCACCAATTATGTTTAGCAGGCTTCATCCAATAACGTATCCAGATTAAAATGATGAGTTCATTGACACGAGATGTTGAGCTTGACTTGATGCTAGAAAAATTATATATATATTTCTAATTTAAGATTTTAATTGTAAGATTTGTATCAAATTTCAAAGGATCATCATTTATTTATTTCTTGATGAAGCTTTGTTATAGTGTTCCTTTGTGGATACGGAACTCTTATTAGGTATTATATTTATTGGAAAAAAGACCAGCAAACATAATGCCAACAGAAATGACAAAGAAATTATTCTTGCACCTACTGATAAAATACTACGCATTGCCTTAACACTGCGTTATCATTTTACAATATGCCATTCGTCAGTTGCATTGTCAAATATTGTAGAGACAGCAGTATTGATGTGATTTATTCCTAAACATTGCTTACTCCATATTCCTTGAAGTCTTTGCAGCTTTCCAACAAAAGTGCAATGTAACAACATAGATAAGATAAATTTCTTTATCACTGCATTTCACATAACAAAGTCACCCGCCCCCATGTCTGTCTTTCAGGATGTTTTCGACAACTAAGAAACTAATAAAAAATACTAAACGGATTTTCTCGCAGATTTCACATTCAGTATTTTTTCGTTTAAAATGTTTATATGTATAGCTCATTTTCAAGATCTAATAATAGTCCCAAAGCGGTCCACACGGATCCCTGGGATCTTAGTCACGAATGAAATTTCTATTGCTAGCTTAGAAACAAGTTAGGATCTAAACAAGTCACCTACCTAGGTACATCGATTCTCTTGCTGTCAACTGCGATAGTACAAAATACCTAAAAAACCGAATGTAGCTTTACTTTTAGTAGGTACTAAGCGAAATTATGGTAGTAGTGCTGCTTTAGCCTTAAAGCCAAATCGAATTTGTATATTTTGGGTCTAAAATAAACAGCCTGAAACCAGAATAGCAGCCAGCATATCATCTTATTAGCCTCCAATCGTTCAATTCCTACAGATTCCTACTCGGAGATATATCTAATCATAATAAATAATCTAATAATCTACCAGAAATAGGATTGAATAAGAAAAGATGGTATGTTCTCTCTATGCCTGTGGAAAAGTTGGATACAACTATTCTTTCGCTTCTAATCTAGTATGGAAGGAATGTAATTATATATAGCTAATGAACTATTTTGTAATGAGCGTTGATGTGTCATGCCAATGACTCATTAGTGTTATTGTTGAACTTCCTCGCATTCGATAAAGTAAAATAATAAAATAAGTATATCCCCAATAGATAAATGGTTCCGATATCAAATGTAGTCATATTTTTTTTTATGAAATACAATACTTCTAGACTATAAGATGGCTTTTAATAAAATGTGGCACAGATTACTTCATGTTGTGAACTCAATGAAATTGCCGTAATAAGGGCAAAAAGGCAAGGTAAATATCCAATATTCCTAGAGAAATCTTAAGTGCATGCAACTTCACAAAATATTAAACAACACAATGACAACTGTTAAAGTGACAAGTCAAGTTTTACATACATTTTTTATCATCATCATCATGTTTTAAGTATAGATTTATTATGCTTTTAGCCACCACACAGCTGTGCAAAGATTTTGTTATTTTTTTTATTAATTACTGTCGTTCATTTCGCAGACTTTGGTCAAATTTCAGTTTATACTTCGGAAAGTATCTTCTACATTGTAGAAAAAACGCTTACTCAGACTTATATATGTTTTGGAATGTTGCGTTCCTGCAATATATAGGTAGAAAAAAAATAAAACACCTAACTAGGCTTTGAGAATTCTCGACATTTCAAAGTCCCGGGACACGAGATAGGCTACGAGTACCGGGACGGCCCAGGACTTGGAAAGTTTTAAGAATAAAATTTGAAGTTAATTTCTAGTGAAATATATTAATAAATATGCAATTTATAGTAAAAACCCTATAATCAAAATCATTATAACTTTGATATTAATTTCAGTATAAATAATTGGTATATTTATTTCTTATAATCAGGTTCGAACAGATTCACTTTTAAGCAATTAAATCTTATAGTATACTAGCTGTCTCGGCGAACTTCGTACCGCCCAAGAGTAACAATAAAATAATAATGCGATTATAAATTGAGATGTAAGCTATCCTTCTTACAAGTTGGATCAAACTGCACACGGTGTGCGAATTTGATTAAAATCGGTTAATTAGTTTAGGAGTCCATCCCGGACAAACAACGTGACGCGTAATTTATATGTATTAAGATTATTTTTAAACAAACTAAGACAATTTTTTTTTTGTTAAAAGGTTGGCAATTTAGCATAAATATGGTCCAACTGATTACACAATAGCCTAAAGATGCTTGCACTGTAAAAAATATCACTCGCTCACTTGGCCACCGCCGCACCAGACCCAATGACCTACCCCGTGGAGCCCCTGAACCTTACTAGCTGACAGAAGCACAACACCACCAAAAGGTAGTGTTATTTTTTTATTGCAGATGGTTGCTCCAATTCGAGTGGAAAATCCGCTGCCCTACCGCTCTTGCCCTACCTACTCATTCTAAATAACTATCTTGTATTTAGTCATACATAATCATAACATTGGTAATTCTCATAATCAGAGATATGTTTCGTAATAAAATAATGTAAATATAAAACAGTCTTATAAATCTGTCCTATAAATAATAAATCAACAAACAAATTAGAATTTTTAGCTGATTTAAAAAAGGAATTTATGAATTTAACAAACAGATGGCGCTAGGCCCTTAGTGTGATTTAAAATTTAAAAATATTTACAATACAATTTCGACAATCGTGTCTCGTCTCGAGTCTCGACCCGAAAGTTCCGGGACCCGGGACAACTAAATTTACAAAAAAAACTCGGGACTTTGAGACACGAGACGTCCCGGGACCCAAACCTTACATCCAACCCAATGAAATAAGGAACCAAATATTTCCAGCTTTATGTTCCCACAAAAGAGAATTTTGTTACACAATTTTTCTAACTTGGTTGGACAAGGAATGTTATATTGTTTAAAAACTTTCAAAGTTGTACCACAGCAGGAACTAAGACAATGAAATAACTTTGTTTCGTTCTGTATATGCAAGGAGGAAATCGTAGGTATTGAAATCGTGAAAGTCGTTATGCATTTTATTGATGCTAACAAATAGTTTCGGTATGAGTCATGGGACATTAAATATGACTAGTAGTATCACATAACTTTGTAGATTAGTGGTATGTAGTTACATGAAATCGTTATTGTTAGGTAGGTTTGACAAATAGCTTTGTATTATAGAAATTGCCAACAATTTTAAATATTTCTTTAATATAGTTAATTACTTATCAATTATAATATTACTAAGCTAATGGCAAAATTTATTTACGTTGCGACGGTCCTTGGTATAATAATTAAATTATATTACACAGTTATTTTATTTATAGGCTTAGAATATTTGGATGACCTAGCCCAAAATCCTACGACTGATGTGAAGATTTAGTGAAATCCACAGCCTTATTAATCTGAAACTCATCCTTTTGGTACACTCACATGGGTATTACATATTTTAACTATGTATTTGCCAAATAGAAGTGGTGTGGGGTTGGCAAATAATTACAATTTCTGATTAGTTGAAGTTATTCACAAAATTATTTTGGTTAGACAAATAGGGCCTATAAGAATCATGCTTTGACGCGTTGATCAAAGGTAAGGCAAGCAGAATAATATGAAACACTTGCACCTACGTGTTAGCAGTATTAACAAATGAGCACGCCTCTGACTAATTCAGATAATCTTTTATTTGTTTCTACGGGGTCGTTATTTATTCGTTTTATTATGACAGCACAGCACCAACTGTTCTAAGGTTTTTAAAATACTTAATATAGTACTCGTAGTATAGGTAAAATCTGCTGCAAGGGCCAACTCGTCTAACATATTGTTGTTTGCGATAGTATTCCAAATATTTCAGTGTTTAGTTTCGTACATATTCTATTGTCAAACATTTATTTGCTATTGGAGTTTCTTCAACTATTTTCCGAAAATTTTAACACCTAAATATATGTTAACTTACTTCGATAAATCATGAGATAGACCATAAAATTGAGGATAATTACTCAAACGCGTACTTCCTTCTGAGTTCACTATCCGCTGTGCCCAAGTTATACTTTATGAAGATATGTACTATTATTTACCTTTCGATATACTGCTGTGATGAGTACCAGCTTATCGAAAAGGAAGACCCTCATCAGCTGTCTCCGCCGACGAGCGTTGTCCATCGCATAGAACTCATTCTGGCGGAGTAAACGACCTTGGTACAGCAGGTTGAGGTTAAACTGGAATCGATTAAGTAAGACAAAAAGTATTAAAAATATAGTTTAATTATTCTTGTGTCTTTATTCACCGCTAGAAATACTCATAAAGGTTAAAGGAATGACATACGCAGATGAACAGCTAATGCAAATGAATATCTAGCCAAAGAGGCATCTAGAAGTTTGAGAAATGTAAGTAACTAGCTCAACCAATTAATTGTATTATCTATCCAAGGCAGAACAGATCAGGAAAGAAATCATAAAAGGGAAGGTTAATAAAAGTAAAAAAAAAATATACTTATTTTGGATTGTTCCTACGTAAGTGATAAGTTATCACAACAATATTTTACTTTTGAATTCGGCAACGTGTATTATGCTAGCAAACGGTATTGTTCAATAGATATTTATTATAGTTAAAATATGATACCAAATAAAATGCTGCCATGCATGAAGTAAATTATCCATACTACGATAACATTAATACGATATAAAAAAATGCTTTGAATAGTTAATTTAAATGACAGAAAGTGTGTCATAATGCCCATTAGAATAGCTCTTACGTATTTAATAAAAATTAATATTATAGTAATTAATGTTATTTACGGGACTACTACCATGTACTTTGTTTTAAGCAAGTTATTTTACAAACAAGTTCCCTGGTAGCAATTCCGTAAATAACTTAACATAATGTTAGTGCCAATAAAAGTTTAAAACAATATAATATGTTAAATATGTTAACTGCAAACCACATTATAAGGCAAGATTAACTTATAAGATAAAAGTATGCTTATTTATTATTCACTCTACTCACCGGACAATCCGATATATTTTCTAACGCCATTATTTCATCGACCGCAGTCAATATTCGTTCGACCACAGTTTTAGCCATCTTAAGACTTTCTAGGGGAGTTTCTTCATTGTCAGAATCACCATTACTACCACCAGTTTCATCGCTATCTACGCTTAATTTAGATATTCTAGAATCCGTATCCGCCTTCTCGTTTTCGTAACTCGTGTATGTCTTCACCAAATCTGCTAGGAACAGTTTATACCTCGGAATCCTTTGTATTGGTTCTAATAGGTAACTCGAGAGATCTAATCTCTCGCCTAGTTCTAGTTGCTTCTCCTTAAACAAAATAAAATTACTTAATATTTATTATACATTAAATGTATTAAGAAACAATGCATTACTTCATTCATCATTGCTGAATTTTTATATTTTTGGTCTAGTTCTATTCGGTGTAGTAAATTTCGATGTATATTCTAAATTATTCTATTACTACAGTTTTCAATTAATTTATAAGAAAAAAATGCGCTTATTGAAAAATTGTTTAAAGTTTCCAATTGTGTAGTTTCCATTCTCTAAATAGACAAACAGCTCCTAAGAATTTGACGTAGTTCCAATCTTATAACAAAGCATTTACTTGCCAACCACTAATTAAGCAGAATCTCAGTTAGGAAACACAATTAGCCAACTGACCGTTGCCCAGCTGTGATTACTTCGCGCTTTGTGTCTAGTTGTGACACAATTAATATCAATAAAACTTTATAGCCTTTCACCAATGTGCAATTCGGGCCAAATGATATGTGATCACGGCTTAGGATTACTGGAGCAGAATTCTATTGGAATAAGTAGACTGCGAAGGCTCCAAAAGAAATGGTGCGGCAATATCATTAACTTTCACCGCTCATAAAACTACTGCTTCTTTAAAAATTGTGATCCTTATCCTAACAAATAAAAGTTACTCTTGGTAAATAAATAAAAAAAACTATTTTCTAAAATATACGTAGATATTGGATCATCTTTGATTAAAATGTGTGTTTATAAACCTCATAATAACGGTATATATATATTTTTTTTAAATCATAAGAGCTAAGTTTCAATGCTTAACGGTGTTGGCAACGGTCATCTGACTCTGCGGCCACATACCGGCACGTCAGACCGGCAAACTTACACAAATGAGGAAATAATGCGCTCAAGAACACATGTTGCAGTAAATATAACCACACTTTGACTTTTTATTCAATGCCTAAATATATTTGTCGTCCCCAAATTATCTGATTCGCCAGATCATGAAATTACTAAATGTAAGGATAATTGGTGATAAATGTAAGGTTTTTTAAAACAATCAGTATGTAATTTCAAGGATATGCAGAGCTCAAAAAGTTATGAAAATGTAATAAAGGTTAGGTTGGAACTGTGATTTGCCAAGCATAAAATGAATTAAGTAGTGGCTTCTTCATGATATGCCTGATCTCCGACGTACTATAGTAAAAACTTTGATTGTATAAAAAAAAAGAAACAAAAGACGAATTATTGTCCCCTTCTTCATAATTTTAGGTCAATAATGATGATAAAATTATGTTTAAAAAAATATCAATAATTTTATGAACTAAATGAAAATTAAACTGCTAGTCATAAACACAACCATAACTTATTAAATAATAATATAATATATTCCATTAGCGGAAGGCTGATAGAGAAATGAGACAAGAGTTATCAAAGGAGATTGCTCAAATTGGTCCAAATGTACAAAAAATATTGACATATAAGGTAATTCTTGGCGTAATTTATACTTTATTTTACTGTCATTAGATTTTAACGGACACCTTTGTATAATATAATAATTTTAAAAAGGACTTTTAATTTTACCGGTTTGGAAAACACACGAATCATTTTTAATGGCTATGGGTGTAGTAACATTCAGCGAAAGACTGATCGAAGTTGTTTATCATAACATCAAAACAAATCTATTTTGTAAAGATCGATAAAATAAAACTTTTTCCACAAGTATATTATCATAAACAATAAGGTGTGATACACTAAAAATCTAAAATATGGTTATAATATAAACATAACAAAAATAATAAGCTTTCTTTAGTTAACGAGATTTTAAAAGTTCTCTCTAATCTGTGGCTCATTCACAAATAACACACAGTTTCTGTCACAGAGTACCTTATTATAACCGGAAATGCATAGATGATAGATGATACCTGATTTTAAAAGTTACTCCTATACATTAACTTTAAAAACAGGCAACTATCTACATGCTTTATATACCTGAATCTAATACATAATTTCGGTAATTGGTTTGATTTCCCTAGTTTGCCATATAACTTATTTGTCTTTTATTATTTTAATACCTATGTTAGTTACATAGGTATTAAAATTAATTTTGCAAACATAACCTCAAAACATTCAGTGTATATAGTTTATAGAAGTTCTCAAGGGTGTCCTTCAATAATATTCGTTTCTACAGTAATTTATATATAATTTCGAATCTAGGTAATAATTTTTCATGATTATTGGTCTTTAGGCCAAACATGAATGGAAGCTGAGCAATCTCCTTTATCTGGAATTAAAAGGAATATTCTAAATACTTCGTTTTATAGCAACTGCAGCCCTGATAAGGCTAATTTTGCAATATATATAATATAAAAATGTAGGTATATAACGTAATCTTGTCAATGGCCATTGTGCGTGCTTGCAGCGCAATAATGCATCGATCAATTTGCTTCTTGCTGTACCGTGCTGATATATGATCATTACTCGACCAATGTAACACATTTACTGCAAAACGATCACTCTATTCTAGAAACGTTCCTTTGTTCTACAGTTTGGCACGTAACAAAAATATGACTGACACACTGACGAGCATTTAATTGGTTTTATATGTCAACATAATAGAATAATATGGAAAAAAAATCCATGTAAAAAACACGTACCAGTATACCAGTTACATTTGAACCAGTAGCTTCCGCTTTCCGGGTTCATGCTACCAGGACCGAAATACATAGATAATTTGATGATTTTTTTTAATATATTTCTTTAAGCTGGAAATGAACGTCGCAGTATTTAGTGTGCGATATAGAAACTGACTAGAAGTCTAACAAGTCAGTGCAGTAGAATGTAAGTGACAAAATCTCATGTTTAGTCTAAAGGCTGCAAGGTAGCGCATTATTTTTTTTTACATTAAAGGGAACTATAATGTCATATGAGATAATTTAATGTCTACTTACTTATTTCTAATTTGAGCACTGTCAGAACATTGATGCAAATCAGTCAAAATATGAATAATAAATACCTAAAGTCAGTATTATATTTAAAAATATTACTGATTTCTCTCTATATTTTATCAACTAATCGTTATCAACAGCCCAATCGCCTATCTAATCAAAAATATAATATGTATATTTGTTTCTGTAGTCCTTCTTTTTGTACCAATTGTTTGAAATGGCGAAAATAGATTACAAGTCAAGAGGATAACATTAATTTTCAAAATGACGAGATAAAATAGTGATTCGTATTGATCATTGCAGAGCAGATAGCATCAATAAATTAAAAAAAATATAATATGTATGTATGTGACTAAAAATATATATAATTACGATAACAAAAATCCTATGATAGTGATTCCCCGACTTGTGTCACATCCCACAGGATGTTCAAAACCCATTATTAACTTTAGATAACTAAAAAATAAATACCGCGCTATATTTGGGAATTGGAAAATCCCTATAAATAAATTAAATTAAACTTCTTGTAAATTTTAAGTCAAACTAAAAATTCAAAGTGATGTAAGAACTTACCTGAAAGAATTGCTTGTTTTCGTACACTAGTCTCGTTGCTCTTTTATTATTTCTAGAGTACATTACATACATGTTGAACCTCGGTTCCTGGAAAGAAATACTAGGTTACTTTGTAGGTATAATATTTTATAACGCCAAGAATTTCTACTGCACTATATAAGTTTAAAAAAGCATCAACAAACAGACAGTGTACGAAATGGAACCTTATAATAGTTATTAAAGCGAGATAATAATTTTCTCTGGGTAATCTAATCTGGGTTATTGTTGTAAATGTGAAAATCAGATGACTCCGATACACGATTTTAATCGTAAATGGAGCCAAAAAAGCTACAGAACTGTGTTATGCGTTGTATCTCAATTGAATGAAGTAAATTTTTAATTTACAATGTTCAATTCAAATATTGGTTGATATTTATAGCACTAACTAAATTTAATAGGTACCTATTTTACAAATGTACAGTAGAATAGTAATATTCTTATCTAAAGAAATAAATAGAGCAATCGTTTTATGAGAGATCGTTAGCACTTAAGTCGATGCTTCAAGTCCCATTATACTGCATCCAAATAAATTATTTATGTATTTTGAGAACGGGGTAATAATTGAAGATATCAGGCAGAATTAAGAAAGGTTTCGGTATAGCGGATTTCCTGCTCGAATGGGAGCGCCCGTACGGGGAAGTAACCTCCAACTTACAGACTACCACATTAAAATAACATTACCTTTTAGTGGTGTTGTGTTTCGATAGGTTAGTAAGATTCAAGGGAGCCAATCGCCTAACGGGATTACTATGGCAATCGCTAACACATGCGATTTCATTTTGTCATTTCTGACCGCCGAAGGTTTTCAAATGCCTCGCGTTCGTTTATTTGCTTTTTCATTGGTAATAACAATATTAAAGAAAATGTGCTTGATGTATATTAAGTAGCTAGTTATAACCTTATTAGTATATAACATTTATTTTCAAAATGACGAGATAAAATAGTGACTCGTATTGATCATTGCAGAGCAGACAGCATCAATAAATTAATAAAATATAATATTTATGTGAGTGAAAATAGAAAAATAGCGTAATGTATTTAAAAAACCTTCGGTGGTCAGAAATAACAAATGAAATCGTGAGCGATAGCCATAGCCTTAGCAAGACCTTTAGGCAATTGACCGAACTATATTATTATGGCTATGGCTGCACGGGTTAGGGGATGGGCGAAAGCTTTGGCATCGCAAGTGTCTATAATTTATAGGCTGATAGACTCTATAAGATGGTGGTCGCTTGCCATCAGGCTGGTCATATGCTTATTTGCGACCCTTTTAACATTAAAAAAAAATTAGTCACAAGTAGCTTGTGAGGCACGCAGTGTGCCTCACTCAGTGTGCCTCACTCAGTGTGCCTCACTCAGTGTGCACCATTCAGCAATCTAAAAAACGTTTAAAAAAATACCTATTTAATGCAGTTAGTATCACAAGTTTCAGTAACATTTACGTACGCGTTTATAAATTTACTTCATTGAATTAAGATAGTAACAGAATGATCAACTCATATTTTACATCCGTATTATCGATTTCCATCAATTAGGTAGGTGAGTACAACCATTGCCGGAAATCGGTATTAAAATGGATATAATATCGAAATAGAAAGCCGGCAATAATATAAAAGGAAACAATTGCCTTAACAAAATTAGAGCGAAGTTGTTGACCACAACTAGTGATTACAATCTAGTGCACACATTTTAGTGAAAACACGACACTTTCACGTCTCAAGTTGAGTAAAATACACGACCCGGGTAATGTGGCATCAAGCGTTTTGCTGTGAAGAATCGTGCATTACTAATAAAGTAGATATAATAAACTCGACTAAACTAGGGTTGCCATTATTCTCGTTTATGCCTACATACTTACAGTATGTAAACCGAACTTTATACCTTTTTTTATAAATAGGTCCGACAGATGACTCCACCTCACCTGATGTAAGGGGACGATGGAGTCCAGATGCAAAGATAGCTAGTACAGCAGTTCTACCTGCCAAACCAGCCATCCTCACCTTACCGGCCTGCATAATTGCTTCTTCACGAATCTTATAAAGGATCTCAGATTATAGGATGAAGGGAACACGTGCAAATGCAAAGAGCTTCAAATTGGCAAATAATCTACATCCATTTCATGAAATTGGAAGTAAGTGCTACACGTATAGCCATAAGATCGCAAATTAAATTACTATCCTGGTGTGTTAAATTTAATGAGGTATACACAATAAAGGGTTTTCTTTTCTATTCTAAATTATAAAAATTTTCTCTTGCCATTGAATAAAGCAAAACAAAAATATGTGTAAAGGGTGAAATCTGTGGTGACTCTGAAAAACCTTAAGGGGTTCTTTCTTTTAGATGAAATTAATGCCTCTGAAGCTAAAGAAAGAGAATAAAAAATACAATTAGAAGCAGCAATTACGAATGTGTGTGTTTATAAAATTATTGTTATAATAAAAATAAATTTGTGCTAAATACACAATTAATATTCCCGGAAAACTGTAACAATTTAAATATGTGCATGGGTTCCACTTTCTCATAACGTATTATCATACATTTGTGTGAGTGTTAATGTTCTGAAATTGTAACGAATTAGGTAATTAAACGTTATTAAACGTTAAGCGATTTTTCCAGTTAAATTTATATTTTTAAGTTATAATTTAAAATATTGTTATATACTGGACAGCAAAGAAATCGGATCACTTGTTACGTCGGAACTTTGAATTGATTTTCACAAAAAGGATAAAACTTACGACTGGCAAAGTTATACCTATAGAAAGTGGTGGTTTCACATTAATCGGTAGTAAAAACGTAACAAGAAAACACACGTCTGAGAAAACTATGGATAAAACCTAAAGAAATGATAAGAAGTATCAGAATATCATTATTTAATAATATTTAACTCATTTTAATCATCATTAGTGTGGATATAATAGTGATAGGTGTAGGATTCATACTTTTTGAGAAAATCTAATCAGAGTTCCAAGGTACTAGCGAATGACCCGTTTCCTGTACGGTTGGGTGTACATATAACTAATTTATATTACAGTCATATGTGCCAAAAGCCTAATACTTATGCAATCGTAATGGGTTTCTTCAGGTATTTTAGTTCTATTTACTTTGTACAAAACTCTAATGCGGTAATCAGTATTCAGCTCTGCAAAATTAGAGAATACATCATTTGTAGGGCCCAGTATCAGATACTTTAAGAAAAATAGTTTTTTTTTTTATAAAAAATATCCTCATTTGTTATATTAAGAAAAAAATCATATGTCTACTAGTGTCACTGACGCATACTGGCGCTACGGAAGATCAATGCTGTGACATATGTTGCAGTGTTTACTGAGTAGCAACCATTTTGGTTAAAATAATTTTGCATGCCTATATATGAGTATTCTATAACAACTGTAATCTCTCTGTTGTTATAAGCAATAAACTTCTTTGACTTTAGCTTTTGACTTGTTTGAAAAAGTCAAAGTTATCTACAAATGCAACCATCACAACCCTAGTTGTAACTAACGAGATCCGCGAGTCCGATTCAAGTTTCCATCTATTCACAGCCATGAATCGGAATGGGGAAGAGTTGATTCCATAAAATGGGCAGCATAGAATCATCCGCTCCAACAGGCCGTGACACCAATATTTTTTCTCTTTTCTCTCACTCGCATTCATCACGAGAATTTATAGAGACGGCATTAATTTGCTCTACCTTGTAACTAATTGTTACGCTTACGTATTGTTTTGCTCGAAGTCTAGCTTGAACTTTACTCATTGTCTGTTAGTTGGGTACGATTAGATAATTTCTTACGATACCACGCGCGAGGTGTGTTTTGCACGCGCCTGAAAATTTCCGCGTTTGCTAACTAATATTAGTTCTTTTTACTCATTCATCATATTAGGCAAGCATTTTTTCTTCCTTTGTTAATAAAGTGATGCAAGTTAACTCGCTTATGAAAAATACTGAAATGTAATTTTAAAAAGGTTTATTTTATTTAATCAGACATTCTCACCTAACCTGTTTTTTGAGCATTCGTGCAAATATCTACTGTCTGTTATATTGTTGAGCCTGTTTTTTGGGATTCGTTCTAGCAATTATTTAATAAAAAATGTAATCAAATACATTTGAATTTGGTAAAACATCATCCAAAATAGTTCAAAGTGGTTCTCCTAATTTCCATTAGCTGTTCAGTAACCAGAATCATACTTTCTATCTTTAATAAATCCAAAACAAGCTATGATTTCACATTACTGTCTATATATTTTGAAAGAAGATTAATATATTTTGTTAGTAAAAAACATCATCAGTTTTACAAGTGCATATATTTAGATATACCAAAAAATATGCTTCTCCTTTATTATACCCCATTCGTGTCACTGGTTAAGAACTTAAATATCTCATATCTTAGTAAATTACACCTATTCATATCGCATATGAGGAATACGTCAGTAACCGAAGCGGTTGATGTCTAGTGTTTAGCTGTCGCACTAGATAACATAAGAAAGTAATTTCAATTCGCCAATGTGCATGGTTTACAGTTTCTCTAATTTCCGTTCGCTTGTTTATTTTATTTTGTTGTGTCTGAATGTTTTTTTCTGTTAAATTATGATTTTAATGCACAAATGAAAAATTGAATTCTTCCTTAAAGTATTAGTCAATCACGATTAACCTATTATGTATTTTAATAAAAAATTAAACCTATTGCTCCTCATTTCCGTCATCCGCTAAAACGTTACGCTAAAACGTGAAAAAAAATATAAAAGGCCAAAAACCACTGTTGGTTATGATTTGTAGGTAATTAAAGTGCCAAATGCACAAATTTATAAAGTTTAATGCGCTTTTCAAGTTTTATTGGCAGTGCAAGGAATTTAATAATAAGTAAAAATCGTGACGGAAATTATACGAATCACAACCACCTTGTCGTGAGAATTGACGAGAACAACAATTGACGAGAAGTAAAAGAGACGTGAGAATGGCTGTAATCAATAATTGACTGGTCAAAAATGTTAGTTATGATGTTACCGTCGACAACATAATATATGACTTATCTTGTAATAAACTTTTAAATTATGTATTCCAAGCTCGATATTTCCATACAATAAATAAAATGTTTGATAGACATAAATTCTACAACTTATAAATTATTATATTGTTTACTCTTATCTTAAAAGTTAGTGTTATCGTTCAAACTAGTAGAATGAAACTTGTCTATTAGTCACCCATGAGAGAAAACTATACGGTCCAAAATCTTAAATATTTTGTTAAAATTCAGCAACATCTCAATTAAATAAGTAAATTATAAAATTAATACAATCGTACCATAAACTAGCTCATCCAGGAATTGAATAAATGACGATGATATAAGTCGAGCGTGTTCGCCTACCAAAGATTACCAAAACTAATATTGGGTTGGGGACGAAGTTTCTTCGTATTTTATAATTATGATAATTGAAACCTTTTTTAATAAATTTTATTTACATTTAAGTAAAGTATGTAGGTGCCATTTTGTTCGATTACTTTTTGGCCATCTTGTAGGTTGCTATAGAAATTTTGGAGCTTCTGATCAAAAACCGCGACAAGTGGATTTGGTGGTCTACTCGTGATGGTAACCTGACACTGCCTAAAAAATTCAGAAGAGACCGAAACGAGTGGAGATCTGAAGGTGCAAGGTCAGGGCTATATGAAGGATGCACATGCACATGCATAACACTTCCAGTCAAGCTCTTTTTTGCTGAGTGGCTAAGGATGTGTGAGGTTTAGCGTTATCATGATGAAAAACCACACCCTTTCTGTCATTTATTCCGGCCGCTTTCTTTGAACTTCTTGTTTTAATCTCATCAGTTGTTTGCAGTACAGTTCAGAATCGATGGTCCTGCCTGGCGGTATTAGCTCACAATGAATTTCCCTTCCAATTCCACCATACACACAGTATCACCTTGTTGCAAGTTAAACCGGGTTTCACCAGAGTCTGTGAAGCCTGACCGGCCTTTGACCACAACGTATTTCGCACGTTCTTGTCGAACGTGATCCACTTTTCATAACCAGTTATCAACTTCTTAAAAAAGAATCACAACAATACGGTTCATTAGGTTTCTTTCAGTGAGCTCGTGAAGCACCCTTTGGAGCTTTTTTATGTACTCAGCTTCTTTCAAATGCGCCAAAACTGTCTTGTGGTCAATTCCTAGTTCTTCAGCTACGTCGTAACTACTGATATGCAGATCTTGCTCCACCTTTTCAAAAATGGCATCCATCTTATCCGTAACAGGGCGACGAGTGACAGGGCTAAGCAACGTGCATCTTATATCAAAATTTTCGGATTGAAAACGCATCAACCAAATTTATGCTACTCTCACAGACACTGCACTAGGTTCATAAACATCACAATTTTTTTTTGCGGCTTGCGTTCCATTTTTTATTAGTAAAATTTTAAAATGTATCGAATTTCTTTATTACAATCACTCATCTTGACAGTAAGAAAAAGAAATGAAAATCACACATTATTCAAAATTAAATTTAGCATTATCTTCTTTAAAATGAAAACTTTTAAATATCATCTAAACCAGCCAGATACAAATGGTAAAAGATATTTTATTACAAGTTAATACATACTATAATGCGAAAAATACTTTTTCCCCAACCTACTGTATTATTACCAAGACAAGAATATCAAGCAAAGGGGTTCTACTTACAAAATTCCTAAAACACTGCCCCAGCTTTCTGAGGTCGTTCTCGCACTCCCGCAACGCCGGCAGGAACTCCTTCGAGTGGAAGCCATATATGTCCTCAAGGTTGCAGAAGATGACCCACTTCATGCCGCACAGGGGCGTGGGCAGGTCCTGCCGGTGCATCTCCGGCATGTAGTTCTCTATTACGTGCCTTAGCCTCTCCACGTATACGTTCTCGGTGTGCACCAGCTCGTTGACACGTTCCGTTAGTCGTCTGTGAAAAGAGTTATATCTTAAATTATGTATAGCTTTATCCTTCCTACGGTATCCATGGATGTTTGCTTCGCTGGATAGAATCACACTTGGCAAACATAAGTCAGCTCGTTACCCTTAAGAGTTACCAATCGACTCCTATTACAGTCACAACCGGTGAACCGCTGGGATCGCATTTGGGTCCCCTGTTTTTTATTGTCTTACGATAGTTTGCTTTATGCTGACGACTTGAAAGTCTTTACCTGAGTTGCTGATCCTATTGATTGTGGTGTGCTTCAGAATGACCTAAATGCATTATCTAAGTGGTGTGACTTTAATGTGTATACGATACAGACACACAAGTGTTTCCGTATCGTTTACATAATAAAGAACACCCATTAAGGTATAGCTATACGTTAAATAATGAACCCCTGGAGCGTAGTTTTTTGGCAATCGATCTTGAAGTTTATTTTGATGATAAAGTAACGTTTCAAGCATATTATGAATATATCCTCGCAAAAAGCAACAGTACGCTAGGATTTGTTCTCAGGTCAACAAAAGATTTCAAAAATGTACAAAGTAGAAACTTTGGTATAAACACGCTCAATTGCAGTTTCGTTCGATCTTTTCTTCAATATTGCTGCGTGATATGGTCAACTCATTGTTTTGTGCACGTTAAAAATGTGGAAACCGACTTCATAAAAATAAAACCACTAAAAAATAACAAATTATATCAAAATGAAATAAAGATTTAAAGTCAATTTAAAATTTAGAGTCGGTGTCATGCATGTTGATAGATCTGAGATACGGTTTATGCTTGTGTTGGCATGGCACCGACATCAAATGTTAATTTGATTTTAAATGTAGTTTAAATACAAGTAAAGAATTGCATTATTTCTTTCTTTTTTGTGGTATTTTTTGGTCGGTTTTTATTTTAATAAAAAGTTTTTATGTAGTGAACTTGCCCAATATTTAGTTAAAAATTCAATTAATTCATTTTTCATGGAGGCACCACGCTTAAAAAGGTGGTATAACGCAGCTCTCAAAACTATAGAATCGTTTAATTTGCTCGGTATTGTAACGGTATATCCTGAAGGGATAGGCCTTGGGGGGTATGCTCAGATAGTAAACAACTAATTAGATTTAAATATTTTATTTATTAGAATTCAAGGCGAATACAATAATTATAGCTTAATCGATAACCGTATGTTTTGGTGCCTGAACTCTATCTGCTGGAATCTTCTATCAAAAGACAGAAGATTCCCAATTTCAAATCTTCAAAACAATGACATTAACTTTTTAATGTAACTGCCAGGCGTAGGCATTACATGAACAAAGAGTTTACACAAGCAAAGAGGCTGTAACGCAACAGACGTTACACGCATTTAAATTGGAAACGGTATTGACACGCACTTAAATTGGAAGTCCCACGTAGAATCCATTAAATGTAAACTTGCAAAGTTCACATGTGCTCTTTATCAATTAAAACAATGTACAGATACAGACACGGCGTTGTCTGCGTATTATGCATATGCGTATTCATGGCTAAGGTGCGGAATAATGCTATGGGGAAACGGCACAACTGCTAACCAGCTCTTTATAATGCAAAAGAAATTTATACGACGTATCATAGTCCACATAGACAATGCACAAAGCTGCAGACCATATTTTATAAAATACAAAATTCTAACTTTACCATCCATATAATTATATCTTAGACATATCACTATTGGTACCAAAATCGTATCAAAATCCGTATCAAAATTTAGACGTATTTAAAAAAAGTTGACGAAACTCATAATATAAATACGTGGCTCAAAAATCGATTAAATTTACTACCATCACGATTAAGAAAACTGAGTAACAGTCCATATTATATGTGTATAAAAAAATATAATAAATTACCCGCTCACATAAAAAAAATTAAGATAAAATTGAAAATATATTTATTACCTTTTTTAATGAAAACTATGCAATAAAATAATATGAGGTGATCTTTAAAATGTTTATTGACATATTATTTTATGTTTATTCACATAGTTATTAATTTTAATTATTGACAAATTTAATTTTGTAAACGAATTTCCATAATCATAATTACAAAATTAAACTACTACTGTAAATAAGATCAATTGAGTAAGTTTTAATATAAAATTAATGAAATCAGATGACATTTATGCATGATTTCAGAAATAAAGTTGTTTAATACAAATTAGGTTCTTCATATAGATAATTGTTTATTAATTAAATTCTCTTTTGTAATTTTTATCCATAAGACACTACTATATTGCGATACCCTGACAGGGTTCATGTTAGGTACTACTTTATGCATTTTGTAACTTGTAAGCATCTATGTTACCACATGAGTGCAATAAATTGAATTGATTTTATTTTCTTACTCTAGCATGGGACACTTATTTTCTAGAGCTCGTTGGGTGGGATATAAATATTTTTTTTAGAGTTCCGTACCTCAAAAGAAAAAAACGGAACCCTTATAAGATCGCTTTGTTGTTCGTCTGTCTTTTATCTCGGGAACGCGTGAAGGTATCGAGATGAAATTTAAACCATATAATCAAGTCTGTGGTTCCTTGTGAAAAAATCAAACTTCTAAGTTAACGTAAAAAAAAAGATACGGGGTCTATCTCAAAATCAAAACTAGTAAAGATCGTAAAAGTTTTGGTATATGATCCCATATGCTGTACAACAAATACTGAAAACTCCGATTCATAACGTACTTTGTAAGTTTTGATGAAAATAAATAAATGACTTTACGGAAATTCAATAGACCGCGGCCAGATTCGCGTTTCGCCAGTTTTGTTTTTTTATTTTAACGACCGTGTTGACCACAATAAATAAAAGGAATTCTATTGATTGATTCTAAATATTCGAATGTAATGAAAGAACATTAACGTGATGTCATGAAGTTTTTGGAATTATCACAACATGATTAAGGGTTAAACTATGTTTCAATTATTTTTATTAACAATTCCATAGACACCTTTTTTGAGTGTGTGTTGGTCGCAGGTGACCTTTACTGCGTCACCGGGTTTGGGGACGGCGAGATCCTAGAAGGACCTCACGCAGTCAATTTAGTCGTAGGGGTATTCTAAGAACTGCTTAAGCCGCGGCGAAATCGGAGGGAGGTCAAAGACACAAATTTCTAAATGCGAATTAAATTCATTATATCAGTTTTACCGATACGCAGCGCTACTTGTATTGAAATTCAATTACTGTTATAATCATGTCATAATAACTTTTATAAAATAAATAAAACTAAAGTTATTCCCCTCTCTGCAAAGCCTATATTTGTGGTGTTTGTGAATTATAATAATATTTAACTCTGTTATTTTATTTATAATAATTTAACTCTATTTTAAGATATGTTAATTTTTTGTTCAATGTATATTTATGTATGTAAATTTTGTGCACAATTGTAATTGAGCACAGACATCAGACATGCCCATAGTTTTTTATTTCTTTTTGTGTTTTTTTTGTCTGATGCCTGTTATTGTGCCATTATAAATACATAAATAAATAAAACTTGCAGTTTGCGTAAATGATGCATGCTGCTTAGACTCATTTAATGAGGGTATGTATTCGAAAGCAAAATGTTCCTAGAGAATCAATTTTCTAGAATTATCGACAGTATGGACAGAAGTGCTGTCCATATAAGGAGCAAGGGTGGTGCTATCATATATAATAGCTTTCTAAATGCCATCAATATTAATAAAATTTATCAACTAATTCGAGATACAATCAAAACCAAGGAAACCATACCAACGTGGTCTTGACGGCATTACGCACACGGGCCAATTTGTAAAAGGGAAATGTAATTTCGATACTTAAGGACCATCGTATGCATCATTATGTCCAAACTAACAAGAAGTTTGCTGATGAATGCAATTAATCCCATGACTTTCCGATTTCCAGATAAGTACTACTACAATATTGCGAATTAAAAACAAGATAATAGTCATTAGCATAAATCAAAACGATTTAATCTAAGTAATAGTCGCATAGATTGCCTTGTTCGGTGAAATCTCAAAAGTTTTCTGAATTATTATATAAGGTGATTTTGACTTTGTAGGTAGTCGTTATTATTAAGAATAAGAATTGCAAAGAGAAGTCTATTATTATGAAAAGAAGGCCGTGGAACTCATATCATGACGCATAAATGCGCGTAAATTATACTAACAGAAAGAGAGAGAAATACTTTGGCCATTTTCCGCAGACTGTCCATTAAAGGGTTAAAGGAATGTTTCTACCGTTGCTGTTTGTTGAAACGTTAAGAAAGTAGGCTGTAAAACTAAGGTGCGTTGCCCGACGCCCATGTAGTACAGAATAACAAAACTCTATATAATTTACATTAATAAATGAGTTTTAACAGTTAACGACAAAGGGTAAAAACGGGACGCTATTACTTAGATTCCACTGTCCGTCTGTCTGTCACCAGGCTGTATATTATGAACCGTGTTAGTTAGCTAGACTGTTGAAATATTAACATATACATAAACTAAAATAATTATTTAAGGGGGGTCCCATACAACAAACGTGTTTTTTTGCAGTTTTTGCTCTTTATTAATATAACGGCAACAGGTGGATGAATATTTTTATTAAATTTATTTTTAAATATTCACTTTAAGAATATTTAAAAAAATATTTAATTAATTTTTTAAAGAGTGGCATACAAGAGACGTATATTTTTACCGGAAAGGAACCCTTTTTGCGCGAGTTCGACTCTCACTTGGCTGGTTTTTTTATTCACACCTACAAAGGTCGACTGCGCGGTTCTGCTTTCTGCATTGTACAGTATTACAAAGCCCTACATCACAGATTACTTAATATTTACCCTACATGTTCCAGAAAACAACAATTACAGATTTTAATTCAAAGAACGGAAAAGTTAGCAGCTGACAGATTCTATATATTCCTTGTCCAAAATGGGAAACGCAATAAAGTAGTACGTCAGTAGTTAATATAATTGAACACGTAATATGATTAGTATGTCATAAGGTTCTTTTT